ATTTCAACACACTTCAGCAATAAAAAAAGAGTAATTTTTGCTTATTAGTACGGTTGAACTGGATCATCGAAGGTCAGAAGCAAAGACATTGGTTAATAGAATGGGATTAAATACATAAAGCATATTTATGTTGTTTAACATTTAATTATTGCAGGTTTGCGTCATATTCTGAGTTGCATTATTTTTTATTCATTTTGAGGAATACTGAATCTGTGTTTTTTTTTTTTTTTGGGGGGGGGGGGTGGGGGGGGGGTGAATTATTGGGGGCACTCATATGTGTGCTCATATGCACACACATATGAGCAAGTTTCCAGAGCTGTCGATCAATAAATTGGGGAAAAAAAAGTAACTCAGATATTCTCTTGTAAATTAAAAAGTAATGCGTTACTTTACTAGTTACTTGAAAAAAGTAATCTGATTTCGTAACTCGCATTACCTGTAATGTGTTACCCCCAACACTGGTTTGGATTACATAAAGATGGTCTAAACCAATTAATTTTGAAAGTGCTGTTCAAAGAATAGAAATCAAGGAAATTAACCCCACCGTACTCATATGTGTTCATTAATACAGACTTCTTAACATAATGGATTTAGTTTTTCCAAACAAAATTAAACGGGATTTTATCAACTGATTTACAAATGTTGTTGTTCACATATAGAGAGATGCCCTCCGCCTTAGCAAGCAGTACTCTGCCTCTCAAGGTCAAGTCTCTCTGCAACCATGCACTGAAACTTCTTTGGGCTTTTAATATAACCGGGTCAAAATTCAAGGTACATCTTTTATCTTGATCTTTAGTTATCACAATGCCTAAATATGTAATTTCAGATTTAACTGGAATATTATAAATGATGGGTGCTGTACAGTCTTTAATAGGCGTTAATTCACATTTGCCTACTGTAAAAAATGAAAAAAGCCTTGAGTGAGAGTCGAGGGGTCTCATTCTGTATGCTTTCCTCAAAAACCTTAAGTAAAAAAGGAGACAATTCTTTAGAGAACCGTTTATAGAACTCTGCGGTAAGACCGTCCGTTCCGGGAGATTTATTGTTCTTAAGTTCTAGAATTGAGTTACTAACTTCAGATAAAGTAATTTCACTATCACAGAGATGTCTTACAATCTTTAACAGACTCCAGAAAAGTACGGGCTGCCTCTTCAGACATTTTATTTTTATGCAAATTACTGTAAAACTTAGCACAGAAATGTGCAATTGCCTGAGGATTATTAGTGACTGTCCCCTCAATATTAAGAGTTTCAATTAATGAAGTACTTAAGCGACTCTTTTCTAATCTGAAAAAATATGCTGCGTTACATTCTCCCTCCATCCATTTTTGTCTAGATCTAATATAAGCACCCTGTGCCCTATAAGTGTACAGCTCATCTAATTTAGCCTGCAGGTCAGCATGCTCAAGCTTATCAGATTCAGAAAACAACTCTGGGGGTTTAGAAGACAGTATTGCAATTTTAGACACCACCTTATTTTCTTCTGCTCTCTTAAGTTTAGATAAATTACTACCGAATTTTCTAAGATATTTACTCATTTCAAACTTCAACAGCTCCCACTGGCAACAATATGAATCTAACACTAAAGCTCTTCTCCAGTACTGCTCAATCAATAATGTAATGTTCTTCTTAACATCTTCAAAAAGGAGAAGAGAACTGT